GGTGGTTGGCCCTGTCTGGAGTTGCTGAACTCTTAGCTCACCCAGACAGACGTCCAGGCTACCCGGTCGGCACCACGAGGAGGTGGTTCAGCTCGCCGGTTTTATTGCTGTTTTAGAGTTGACGGGCTCGGGGTTTCTTTCATCTGCAGAAGTTGATAGATGAGGCTGATTTCAACAGCGACCAATTAGCACACCCGAACTACCAACATTCCGACAAGTTGCCGTCGTATAACTGCGGAAGTTTTAACATTTTCTGGTTACCATCTCGAGTAACTCGGTTTGGTGCCATCTAGTTTTACCACTGGTTGGCTCATTCGAATCTCCATACTTTGTGATACGCGGTGGAATTGTGCCGAAACGATCATGTTAGTCTAGAGTTTTTGTTATCTATCTAGTAACAAGATGACTGCACAATGCGAGGAAAGTTTTTGTTGCAGTTTACGCGTGACTTTCATGGTTGCTAGTGTGATTCCCGATACACGAGTAGTGCTGTTGTCTGAATGCGACAACCTACAGGGTGGTTTGATGAATAAGCCATTTCCAGTGAGGTTTCCAAAGGCCGATATCGGTATTAATGACCTATCACTACATCACCAGCATCAGTGACAACAAACGCAGTTCCGAACGCAATAGCAGAAACGTACTGAGTTTCAGACTTGGCAAGAAGCCGGCCATTGTTAGGGAACACGGGAGACGTCACCGAAAATGTATTAAATTGTCCTCGAATCAATGGGGCTGCCAACCGTCTGGTGGGTTCTAAAGTGGTCCAGTGATGAGCGGATCTCAGTGAGTTGGGAACGGTGTTAAGTTTTAGTCCATCTTGAGGCTGGATTGTAGCTTAGGTAAATCCAGTGAAATCCAATTCAAACACTGAGTCTTTGAACGAACTGATGATTCTTACCCAATCTTTTACTATTTGAGGCATTGACCCTCTCTCTCTTTCCGCTGGACGGCTAGGATCCACGCTATGATTGAAAATTCTTTGTGATGTTGATTAGCCGTACACAACACTTGGCATTTCTCATCAGCTTACTTATACGTCTTCATTTCCCTTATTTCAAACTGTCTCCAAGCCAATCTCTTCGTGTAAGAAACAAGTGGAAGACGCCGTGACTCCTACTAGTACTCCGCCAGAGAATGCTTCTCCTGGCTTCAAATTCGTTGCCCATACTGATCTGCCACCGTCCCAAATTCATTCACATTTATGCACAGATCCTACACCATCTATCTACAAGGACGTCATCAGCGTTCCTGATGAAACTCAAAATTTGAAAGACTTTTCTGGTCAGTCACTGATTTTTGCACAAGCTGAACCGGCCAACACCCTCTTCTCTCGATTCGATACAGTGCGTCCAGTGACTGACTCTTCATTATCTCCTTCATCTGCGAGCTCAAGCCGTATACTGGAATGTTCTGTATTACCCTCTCAAACAAGTACAGATTTACCCACTCCAGCTGATGCTCATACTACATCCTCCTCCTTCTTATGTGAAGTTTGTCAGCTACACACGACTTCAACTGAAGATGACAATCAAGAGCCGTATCCATTCTCACTCGTGACCTCAAACTTATCGGCCGCTCCAGATGCCCCCAAAAACCATTCTGAAGGATACGACCCTGAGTGTTTCGCAGGGCTTCATCCGTCCTGTGATAAAAACATCCCCCCTGTTATCGAATCAGCTGTAGAAACAAGCAATCCCCTTGAATTTGCTAATTCGTCTGTCAGTGGCGTGCAAGACACATTTCTTGTTCGAAAACCCTCCCTCCTTTATTGTCCAATCGCTGAAGTGGAAGATGACTGTTCACTCTACAGTGATCCTGACCAAAATGCTGTCCCACCCCAGCTCACTTCACACGATGGCTTTCCGTCATCCCGATCGATGAATTTCGAGGCTTCTGATACTGAAGTGTTCACCACTACCACCCCACTTTCATATGCGTTTCACCAGCCGTTGGACGTTGACTCTTCGGATGAATTGATCCCATCAATATTCGACGATGGTACATATGCCTTCAGTACGTTGGATTCTGATTACCTTGCCTGGATGCGTCTAAGCGTGAGGGATGTCACTGGTGATCCGCTCTCTCTCACTCCTGAAATGCTAGATAATCTTCCACGCACTCAGGTTCATCGCTGGGTCGACATGTTCAACCTAAACTCAATGGGACTGCGCTTAAACTTCGTAAGTTTTCTTATTTAATGCCATCACAATAGCTTTCCTTCATTATGATGTAAAGATCAGCTTACTGGTGTCATACTTAGTTTCCTACGGCATGTAGTTGTGCAATTGAATCTTTAGTAGGATTAACGCTGGTGCATCAGATGAAAAGTCGCACTGTACATTTTTAAGCACTTAAGGCCCTGGCACACAGGCTGATTCCTTATGTATTACTCACCAGAAAAGTGAGAACAGATAGTGCACCAAGGCAACTGATTCAACCTGTACGTTCAGTAGACTCCTATACCTAAGATATACATATATATATATATATATATATAACATGAAACTTCGTGAATTGTTTGATCACCGGGGAGTCCTCGAGCGAGTATGAATCACAAGGAATCAGTCACAGTAATCGTCGGATTAGTACTTCCTACTAAGTTATCCTTATGGTAGTCAAAACGAATGTCTCGCAGCATCATGGACCTTCCTAGTCAACTGGAATGGGCTCATACAGGTCGATCGATCTTTCTCCTCCGTAATCTATAGTGTTAAAGAGTGTGTATGCGAACTACGTTCTGGTTTGATGCTTTAACAACCACTGGACGCAGTTCCTCGTCGAATGACACACAAACACATGGTGGCTGTGCATAGCATCCCTACCTTTTTATCGCCTTCAGCGATTTCGTTCGGAGACTTGTTAACTTCTACTGTTGAAGAAACTAGTGAACGTTGCTTTCTCAAAGTCTGTCGTTAATTATTCTACTGAACTGGTTTGAAGAGAGGTCGATGAGAGGTTGATGACTTCTCTGTAACGGTCGTTTAAACTTTTCGGCCTACAAAACGGATTGAATTATCAGTTTCACCGCGGATTTTCCAGCTTGAAGCGTCTCCAGATAGTAGTGTGATAATATAATACAATTTGAATGATACAGTATTAGATTCCGTGTGTTTTGTACACTGTTACTCAGACCTAGAGATCGTGCCAATCTCTCAGTCAATTGACGCAAGGCCTATTACCAAGCGCGATGCTAAATAATCGGCTTCCTATTAATACTGGTATAGACGTCGGAGTGGATCAGAAGACGAAAACGCGACCAAGTGTATACCTTTTGGGAAGCTTTCCCCCCTTCTCTTGACATTCATTAGCTACGTGTACGAACGACTGAGGTCTTCTCTAATTTCAATGTCTAAGTTGCCTACCAACAATATATTTTAGCAGTCTAGAAGAAATCAGATCAAGACTAACGAAATGCACATGCTTTACATTAGATCAATGGCACTTACCACCAGTCCACCGTAAATTGACGACCGTGTACTATCAGATGCTCATACTGGTGTTATTTTTATTTAACGGTTTTATTCCCTCTGTTGTTAATTCACATAGCATTGATTTTTAGTGTGTCCTGAACAGGGACATCTCAGTATGTTCATTGTGAACAAGGTCTCCAGAAATGATAACCAATGTTTTATTCGACTAAATTCATGCCAGACAATCAACATGTGTCATCTTTTATAAGTGGCTATGATATTTCTATCTCTGTCGAAATCCTCCAGTAATAAGACTTTGCAGTCGAATATCATCCATATTCCTTTGTGGTTACTACTCAGAGTGGCATTAAAAACGTGAGTGTGTACACTTACACAGCTGATTTTTTTGTTTAAACCGTTATGATTTTCTCTGTCAGTGGATCAACACACAGGACTGTCGTGTTTACACTGGCCAAAACAGGCTTACGCTTCTTGCCTCAGTGACCAGGACTGATAGATATGTCGAAACTCATAGCACACAGAATTTGCCGTCAGATTCGCCCCAGCCGTTAGTTCCTTATCAAAGGTGACCATTAAATCCCCGCTCAGGGTAACGCAGGCTGCTCAGGCTGGGTTGACCGAGTCGACTCACTTGCAATCAATTTGTTCAGTTTAAAGAAAGTTTACTAGAATTCTATGGCATACTGTTTCGTTTCCATAGAAGACAGCGAGATTCAGGTTGTGGAAATCAAACAAAGTATGGAGACGACAAATACACTCATTTGCATATTAATTTGGTTTTGACGGGCGACTCGCCTGGGACCCAGCTGAACCTCTCGTTTATTATGTTCTTATGGCTAAACAAATTATGCATGACGAGCTAACGTGGTCGTCTTCGAGCACTGAGCCCATTAGAGCGTTTTTTAAAAATCGGGAACTTGAGCGGATGCTTAACTGTGAGGTATTGGTCACGGGAAACACTGGTTAGCGGTTTAGTGGTAGTGAACCGGACGAAGCGAACTTTACGAACCGAATGCTACTTAGCTGTAGTTTGAAACCTCAGCGTAACAGAACAGCGTAACTGCACACTGATCCTCTGGGCAAGTGCAATCAACAGTAGTCTTGAACACGGCATGGCGCGAGTTGTCAGAGGGCACAATTTTAGTCGAGGTCACATAGAAGAGAGGGAGAAACTGCAACATTTACTAGATGTATGAGCATGAGGTAATAATGAATGTATGACGTTTCAGAGCGAAGTACACCGGCGGATTGTGCTAAACTCCCGCGTTCTGACATGGCTATACACAAATCCATTGACAAACGGCTGAGTGGTGGGCCCATAGCTACACAATCAGTCTCTCGGTACAAGTCGGAGCACATTCATTGTGTATCGGTGCAAGAGAATGTGATTCCTGATTTTGTCCAAATAAATGGCTACAGGAAATGTAGGGGTCTCAACTGGGAACACATTCATTAATAGGGAGTATTCACTAATCGAGAGCATTCCCCTTCCGTGGTAACCAAGACCAAAGTAATCAGCTAGAGTTCGAAGTTAAATTTGTTAGTCTTAAGGCCCAAACAAAAGATTTTTCCCGATTATGGACGTGGAAGCAGAGCAATTTAAGCCGACTTTGGCGCTAGTGTGCCATCAATACCAACTACAACCATGTACGATTTATGGCTACTCAGTAAAGAACACAAATGCTCTCCGGACGTCGAACTTCTATTGTGCTATTTTTTGCTTGGGTCACTCATGTTTTGCTCCACCTCAGTGAATAGGGGCTAATGTCGGTTGTGAGGCAATGAATGACTAGATCCAAACAAATTACAATTGATCGCCTCCGGAACCACCGACCCAACTCCTCGAAATTGATCAACCGTAAGCTCCAAACGAGAACCAAATTTTTGTGCAAAATTTGAGTAAATCCATCTTGAAAGAAGCCGAAAATTTATCAGTTTGACCATCCAAATTGCAGGTCAACACGACTATTGGTGGATGACCATTTTTTAACTAACTAATCGTCGCACTTCATGGTGGCTCCGATGAATAACGTGCAAAAAGCTCTGAATTGAACCAAGTTTATGCCATAAAAGCCACTCAATTGGTTGCACTGGAGTTAGAAATAATCCATGGATCTTCACTTCGAGATGTTTATAGCACAAAATTTTGTTCTTTGCTATTGAGACCTTTGAGACTGAACATGCATTGAAGGTAAATAGTATTCGTACTTGGTCAGCTGTCGTTACAATTTAGAACAACTGAGATAGATGGATTTCAAGCTGTTTTTCATTGAAGACGTTCATAGCTTGATGAATCTAATGGGAATCAGTCCTTACCTCCGATCAATATGCCATACGCCAGCTTGCGTGCGAAGAGTGCATTCGTCCGAGCCATAAAAATTTCTACGGTATGAGGTACCATTTGTCGTCTACTGGATACGCAGTAGATAGGATGTTGGTTATGCGCACCCTCAGTCACTGGTTTAGCTCCGCCGCACTTTAGCCACACCATCAGCTAGATCCCTCTCACTCATGTCAGTTTTGCCTCATTAGTACAGGAGTCTGAGATACTTCTCTCCTATGTGTCTTCAACTGTTTGTGTTCTTCAGTTGTTTAGGCCTTATCTGTCTACTCCTTCCCGGCTCTATGTTCTGTGCGCGACTTCGCGCTACACTTGATCATCCTCCCCTGTTATTCAGTACGTGAGTAACAGACCATATTCGGCCCCGGATATAGTCCCTATGATAGGACGCCTCCCTGATTTAACATGTGTAAATTCTTCGTTAGTTTTTTATCATCCAAGCCACGTTTGACCGTAACGTACCATCCATTCGGTGGTAAACTACACTTTTCTGTTGCACACATGGACGGTATAGTGGCGCTACTGAAACGCCCTATTTCACTGATTAACAGGAAATTTATGTGTTTCGTTCTGTTGGCCTGAAGGGTTGATCGATCACCACTCGATCCCAAACCACCGGAAAGTTCATAAGAGAAGTAGTTGTCCCACTTACGAAATACAAGTATTGCAATTACCCTCATCTGCACAATTTGGTTTTTACTCGAGACTCAGCTGAATCCAGCTGAATCTCTGGTTTATGATGATCTTTCATTTTTCATGACAGTAGTTGTCCCACTTACGAAATACAAGTATTGCAATTACCCTCATCTGCACAATTTGGTTTTTACTCGAGACTCAGCTGAATCCAGCTGAATCTCTGGTTTATGATGATCTTTCATTTTTTCATGACAAATCGCTTCGTCTCCTGAATGGTTTGAACTTGGGAGATCGTGGTGATCAATCTATGTAGTGGCTACAGCTAGCCCATTGGCGTGTGGAGACCTAATTTAGACAGTTGCAAGCGTACCGAACATCGTGGACTGATACTCCGTCATGTCGGAGTTGCTATCGTACGAGGTGCTTTTATAGGAGACGGGTGTAGGCTATCGTTATACTCCACAGAACGATGTTGTGCTCCTACTTGTAACGTTTCGCTCAAAAAATAGTCTCTTTAGTCGACTTTTATAAATCCCAGCTCAAACGATTGACTTTGTACTGTGAACGAGCCAAGTAAAATTGACTTCCACTAGTTTCCCTTTGGTTAAACTGTATGAACTGGACGCGGCCCCACAGGTATCAGATATTGCCTCATATCTGAACAGTGAATGTCATTTGTTCATTCTTCTGAGAAACTAGGAACAGAACCCTTCTCTCTTTGGATCCCCTTCATTCATTCGGTTGCTGTGCGACCTCTCAACAGAGAGATCAAAATATTGGAGGTAATGTTGTATCATTACTGTAATACTGTATCAACATACATTTAGGGATGGTTTGGTTATTAGCTGTAATGTATTGGTATAAACTGCAGAGTCTTATTACGGCTATCATACAAAAGACCAGATGAAATGTCTAGATATCTCAGTACATTCAAAATGGGGAATGTGTAGACCGACCAACCAACTAAATGATCAAAGTTAACTTGATTAGTGTGGGGATTGTACAGTCCCTCCAGAATAAGAATGACCGCATGTTGATAATAAATACACAGGGCAATAGGAATAGGTTTTTAATACGAAAAACAGATAACACCGTACGCTGAAGCACATCAACGTTCATCGGAAGGGGGATTGAGACAGTTCAGCGGTTAAAACGTGAAACTAGTGATCAAAGCTCTGTGTTTCAAACTCAATCCCGGCTTTTCCATTGCTCCTGTCTAGGTGTGGGCAACTTGGAAGTATATCGACGGTCATGTTCGGGTCGAGTCCAACGGCAGCTATGTATCGAAGGGTACCACAGATGAACTACTTTTTATGGAGAGTAGAGGTGAATCTTGTGTGTTACAAGCCGTAAACTCCGGAAATAATCGAGCAGAGTATTTACTATGTCGAGGCTGATACGTTCGGACCAAGTAGAATAAAACCCCTCTGTCCAAGCCAACAAAGGCGTTAATGTAGTACAAGAATGTTATTTCTATCACACCGTTATTTCCTCTGCTTCAGGCGCAGAGGGATACCTACAATAAGTGAATTAGATAATACAGGAAGTCCCTCAGTTTTTGTCACTCACTAATCGTCCGAAGGCCTAATAACGGGGGAGCACAAGTGATCAGCGTTTTTCTCAGGCGGTAGGGTTGTGCGGATGGATCTCTAACAGTCGATTGTCCTCCCTGAAGTAGTGCACAGTTTAAGCAAGTCAGGTAAAGAAAAGTCGATGGCACATCTTTTCTGAAATACGGGAAAATAGCATTTTGAGGTCATGTGCCTTGTGGTGTACGAGACCAACAAGTTTTCTGCAGATATTTCTGTGGGAAAAAGTTGACTTGGTGGATGAAAAAGGGGAACAGAGAAGGGGTTTGGCATTGAAAAGGAGGGGAGGTTCCCGTCTAGTTTCCGAAAATCAATGCTTGACCTGACTTCGCCGTCATATGTATACCGTGGCAAATACCGTTTCGAGATGGCACAGTGGTTAATGTGCAAACTTACTGACTGAAATGTTAGTAGTTTGAACTTAACCTCAGCATCTCTACTGTTCCTGTCTAGGCTAGAATAACATGGAAGCATCTCAACCCTCCTGCTCCCTTCGGGTAACATTCCATTCGGGCACCGAAAAGGTGTCACAACCGAACTATTAATATCCAAAGTTCTAATTAATGGTTTTGATGTAGAATTCTTTGGAATGCCTTGTCGAGATTGATTACCTCCATTTCAGGCGAAGATGCCCTCTTAACTTCGGCGAGATTACTTCGACGAATAGCGCTGGTTGCTCATAGAGAAGAGTTGAGATTACCGGAGAACAAGAAGCCGTCCAGGTTCTCCAAATTCTCACACGAACGAGTCCTCATGCGTGCTTTCCTGGAAGAACTGCGTGAGCATGCATGGCAATCTCTTAGCCGTAAATTGTAGGAAGCAGCACCAAAATTCGGCGGTCGTTTCTACCAAGGTGGCCAGCTTGCCATTCAGAATATCTTTCAATCTAATGAAGACATCACTTTTGGGAGTGAGTCGTGTGTAGGAGTCAAAGTGTTTGGGCAAGCATAATGAAATCAAGGTGTCCGCAGGTTGGTCATCTATAGTAATGCATAAAGGACGGTTCATAGCGGAAATCGGGTTTGTAAATAATGTCCCACTGGAATGCACCATTATTCCCCCTTGAAACTAGTTGATGTCAGTGATGTACAGAACGATGAGCAGCACATCACGGAACCGTGTGGCTGCTGCTGGTCGTTACACATTAGTTGGTGCATCCGCTCTACCATAATTGTAGGTGGCATCATATGGGCGATCCAAGAAATCATTGTCAGAATCAATAGCTTTCCGAATTTCATACTTAGCTGGATAGCGCTTGCCGACAGGCAATTGCGATAAACTTTTTGACCACCGTTATGAGGAGGGACACGACGCCTATAGTTACCTAGGCGAACTCATTTACACTTAAGCTGTGGATAAACGAACACTACGATTTATCAAGTGATCCCAGCAGCAGATGCAGTTTGACTCAGCGTCCACTATCACAAACTACTGCCATCCAGCCTGGAGTTTTTGACACAACCATGAGGGAGCATAATTGTCTGAATGGCCGTCCATCCACCTTGAACTTCTGAGACAATGCATCTGAACCGTTTATCCTTTCTTGTTTTGAGGACAGCAACGTCCCAGTCTACAAATTCTTAGAATCCCAGTTTTGAGTCCAAGGTACTGATGATTACTGCAGTTTAAACTATACTTGTGCTTATTTCCAACTTTATGACCGCTCTATTGGATGTGCATCTTGAGGTATTTTCCCTTATTCTCGCTTCAGGTTGATTCTTCTTGCCGGTTAGCCGGCACGTTGCGCATCTACATGAATCTTATCAAACCCGTTAAAATGTCGTTACGACAAACTATGGATATTCTTTCACCGCTCCCCGTTTCGTGCGATGGCATGCATGGAGAGGTCGGCGAAGCTCAACAGGCCCTACCAGCTCCAGCACGTTTAGTTTCATTCTTCTTGCCAAGGGGAACATCCAAAGTAGTTTATATCACAAGGTAATCTAGCTCTGAACTTACCCATTTTTCACTCTACAAATCATCCAGTCAGTGGTTCCAAAATGTGTCTCGATTTCCGTGTTAGGATGACTGCCCCGTAGACCGGATCCTTCTGATTAACCGTCCTAATATACTTCAAACAAACTAGTGTTCCTTCTTTATAAGAACCCATTTATAGACCTTAATATCTCATTTCGAGGCATCGTTCGACTCAAGGTTCGTCCTTAGACCAAGTCGGAATCCAATGAGACTAAGAAAACCCTATTTTCTAATCAGTGCGAAATTGTGCGTCTATCCATTAAAATAGGAGCAACCACCATAAAAATTCAGTATCCGTATATCATGAATAATACAAGACGGTGCCTGACTTCCTGTCTTCATTTTAGACAAACTGCTGTCCGGCTGGATCCTGAAAGTTGTCCATGCATGCTTGAATCATTCCTCTCTGAGAAAATACCTCGACATATTTTTGTACCTAACAGTGGTGAACAAAACAATCGAAACTTCCCAGCTACTCTGTTCAACTCCGCCGAAGCACAACCTTGACTCTTTTGGCGAGGGAAACAGTCATGTGGAGGTATATTAACCCTACCGTAGTGAAACAAGTTAAGCGGATGAGGTGTACCGCTTTCATTACAAACAGAGAATTAGCTAGCTGATTCAAAATGAGCACAACTCGGTTTGTTTTGTTTTATCTAGCAAGTGAAGTAAGGTCGGTTTTGCAATTGAAACTGTGTAGTGTTTTCATAACTGAAACTACTCACAAGGTTGATGAAAACTCTTCGATAACCCACGACCGCTTTCTCCCCTTCTTGGGGCTCTAGTTTCCGTCAACCTCATGTTCTACTTGAACCCAAATTGGACAGGTTAATGCAAATATACTGCGATATCTCAAATATCGCACCAACTGAAACATGAGGCGGCTTTTGTACAGCATATTCAATTGTAGAATGTCGTAATCGTGAAATTTAGCTAAGTTTCCCGTGGAAACCAAATTGATATACAAATGCGTGATGTTTGTTTTACTTGTGCCGTTACGATTAGACTTACTCTTACCGTGGTGTGACGGTTTTTGCACCTCGGTGACTAATTGAGATATATTAGGGGTCGTCCCCGCGACATTCGGAGTCTCTCTTACAAGGTTAGTCAATGGTTAGAGGTCTGACAAACATAGTCTCCTGGCCCTCCAGGTTGGGGTTTGGAACATGTGGCGACTTGTTCCGTAGAAATGGCAATGCATTTGCATTTCCCGCCAAACACCGCTGCCTTGCGGTTAGGCTTTGAGCCAAAGACTTCGGATGAGGGACCTAATCGTCCTGTCTAGGTGTGGGCACCCTGGCAGTATCCCAGCCCTCGTGCAACCATGACACTCACAAATAACAATACTCTCATTCCACATCGGCCGTCGCGGGTCACCTTACTCACTGCATACAGCAGAGCGGGTAAGCGAAAAGAGGCTACTGCTGACGCTTCCCTTCTTTCTCTTTCAAATACGTTTTCTTCCCCCTCTCCCTACCCCAATAATTACTCTCTCCTTGCTTAGGTTTTGCGTGCGACATCTGCTCGTCACATGGCGCCGACATCCACAGATATCTCCAAATCCATCTTCAAGCCTCGACACCCAGTCTATCTGGCCGCGTTCAATGTCCGCACTCTGAAGCAAGCAGAACAACAAAGTTCTCTTGCACCCACACTGGACTAGCTTGACATTGATGTGTGCTGTGTCTCAGAAACAAGAATTCAAGACGCAAGCACAGTGGTTGAGCTAACCGTCCCATCACTCTCCACTGGCTTCCAGCTACTCAACTCTAGTGATACACAGGTTACTGCGGCGGAATATGCAGGGAACGGTATCGTCCTAAGTTACCGGGCGGAAGTATTTTTGTTTGACTGGATGTATGTTGATAAGCGCATCTGTGCAGTTCGTATAGCAACGCGTGTGAAGGAGTCTCACAAGCTGGAAGTGGATCGCTGTCTGTTTATCGTGTTTGCCTAAGCCCCAACTGATTGTAGCTCCGACGCCGTTAGGTACAGGTTTTATGACGCCCTAAACGCCCCGCTGCGGCGAGCTAAAAACTCGGATGTAGAAGTAGTTGCCGGAGATTTGAATTCGCCAGTGGGTAGGTTAAGCGTATCTGATACTCAGTTAGGATTTCGACATGGATTGGACTCGGTAAGTACGGACAATGGTGAATAATCTGCTTCCGTTGTGTGCTGACCACAGGTTGTTTCTATGCAGCACCAACTTCCGAAATAGTCGGAGTCGTCTGCACGCGTGGTTTGCTCCAACGATAGGCCAGCCACGAACTTTGTTAAGAGGACTGCCTCTAAACGTGCCGGTGGCGAGCTCAACTCGATCACAGTGCCATCAGTTAAGGATGGCGCCGATCAATAACAGACAGCCGGTCAGTTTAGAGCACATATGTGGATTCTGACCACGCACTAGTCTGGAGTCACTTCCACCTTCGTTTTCCAAGGCCGCGTAAGGTGCGAAAAAATCACCTGGCAACTGAAAGACTGACAACGGAAGACTGCTATAGCTGATCATACGCCTTCTGGCCCGACCTAAAGCTGCCACCTTGACGT